ATTAAAAAATCCTAAGGGCTTTATACTTCCTAGAATTTACAAAATTTTCTGGTTGGACATCTTTTTGTTGGGAGAGATGCTTGATCCCAGGACCTACCATTTAAGTGCTTCTCTGCATCACGCATATACTTTTTCCTCGGTTCTGCTTACATTGTGTACCCACCTAATTCTTACTATTTGTCCTCTTGGTATTGATTTTTATAAAATATGCTGTGTTATACACCATGTCAAAAATAAAACAGAATAAACTGCGATTCCAAGCTATGTGCCTAATGTTATTGAGACTTGATCCAACTCACAACACCTTCTAGAAACAGAATAAACCAAAAGCAAACAAACCCCAGCTTCTCTCTCAGCCAAAACCTGGCAAAAACCACAGACAATATTAACTTGTGGTTATCACAGGAAAGCACACGTGTCTTTGGTGAGATCAAACTGCCAGCTAGCACCAACAAACAATGCTTGACCTTTCGGTAACATCAAGAACAGAGCTCTATTAACACATGGTATTTCCTCTGTAGTAAGATTACATCCTGCCTTTGCAGGAAGAGAAACTCAGACTGACTTATTTCAATTCTTTAACTTACATTTCTAGCCCAGCAAGAAGAAATGCAATTAATACTATGCATCTTGGTATCGTGTTCAGCTTTAGGTATTTGGTTATTTTCCTTGTGGAACACTGCTCAGATTAATAATTGAGGCAGGGAACTTGTCCTTGGTGTCCAATGCATGTCTCCCCTGCTTGCACTTCAGCCAATTGAGGCTATTTCCTACTGCTTTGGAAAAGGTTATCAAGTCCTGTATGTGCAGCTGAGTCACACAGAAGCAAAGCGAAGTTACTCATTAGAACTTGTGCTTTTTGGAGGGAGAGAGGATGCCTAACTTTTATTCTCATATCACAGGTAACATTCATTATGCTTTTTGGGGAGGAGGCGGATTTTGAGTGTGGCTAAGCTTTTAATTTGGATACATATTCCAAGCATATGGTACTGTTATGAACTATTGTAGTGTATTTTTTTAAAAAGATATTACAGACAGATATGCTTTTAAAATAAACCATCTGCTTCAAACTAGAGTTCTTTTGATCCTTGTCTGTGAACAGCCAGTCACCACTTTGAGACAGGAAACTCTGGGAACGGAAGGAGAGGTGTGAAATAGCTGGGAGTCATTAAGCAGTGTAGCAGAAATGTAGTTACCAGTTGCCAGGAATAGTAAACCCTGCTTACACAAGACTTCCCCCCCCCCC